AAATAAAAGACAATACACCATCATATATCATATAAATTTATGGCAATAAATAACTTTAAAAAAAAAATATTATGACAATAAATACGTACTTAAAATATTAATTGTAATACAATAATTTGTATGATAAAAATAATTTGTTTCTATCCCTTTCCTTCAAATTTATAAAATATTTTTATATATTTAAACAAAAAACTAATTTATTTTATTATTATATTAATTAGTTTTGGACTCACATGGATGTATGATAGTTAAGCCCAATTCAAACAACCAAATTTTTAACTCATGGATGCAATCAATCAACTGTCAAATTTTTAATTCAACCTAGTTCAAACAACAAAATAATGGCAGTGATAATTGGAGTACTTTAATTTATAATTTTGTATCTCAAAATGTAAGATGGTCGTATTTACTTTGATATGAAGGTGAATTTTGATTTTTTTGACTAAGTTCTTGTAAAAGTCTCTGGCAGATTTTCCACCAAAAAGAAGATACTAGCTCAGGAGAAAAGAAATGGCTGTGAAACTTGGTTACAATTTTTTACTAGAATGATGACAATGTGATTGGCTATGCTCACTTGGCTTGTTGAATATTTTTAAAATTTTTAATATAAATTGGATTGTGCTTTTTATAAAGCACCAAGACCGATTTTTGCTTTGTGTGTTTTCAACCTTAATGAGTATATTTTATGTGCTTATCGTCTGATTTTAATGTAAATTTCGTACTCATATAAATTTTTTGCCCGTGTGAAACTTTATGTATAAACTATAAAGGGCATCACATTTAAAAATTCGGATACAGTCTTTCAAAATTTTTGGAATCTCAGGGCCAGTCATTCAAATAGAGCTTAATAAAATATTTAAAATTATTCTAAATCAACTTTTGTGACTCACGTGAGACACTTTCAGATTTTGATTTAAAATGTATTTTCAATGTGCGAGAAACATCTGAGAAGATCCACTTTCTTACACTTAATGCTAGGGCTAAAGAATTTTTATTTTTTATTTTTTTAGCGGAATATAAATATAATAATTGATGGAATTTTATGTTTTTATAAACACATACATACATCAATATCTTCAGCAGATCAGCTTCAATTTCGTGGGTTCTTTATTTTTGTTTCTTTGACCTCAAGCAAAATTGAAAACAAAAACTTAGACGAAGAAGGTATCAACCGACCGTGGCATGTAGCTGCACATTTGGTCAGCGTGTTTAATGTTCCAAAAAGCATTAGACATTTGTTAGAGCAATTAGTTAGCAATAGAAAGTGAATGAGTTAATTTTAATCAAATTAATAATATCACTTGCACTAAATTTGGTTCAAACACAAGCTGGCCATGTTTGGTGGTAACTGGTAACACTTCCATTTTCAGTTTTTTACTCTTTTTTTCTTTCGTTTTTTCCATTGTGGCTGTTTAGAAAATAAATTAGCCTTAATTAGACACATGATTTCAATTGTACCTAAAACACACAAATGATTTAACTCTTTGTGGGTTTAAAAGAAAAAAAAAAAAAGCTACTCTTTTTTGCATGACATTCATGTGTTGCCTATAATCAATGACGGAATTAATTATCTTCATGCAAATTCTGGCTCAAAACAGATAAATTATATATAAATATAATAATATCTATCATGGTAAGTTTAGCGGAAACAAATGAACTACTAATAATTATTACGTTTTTCATTATTAATTTATTTATTAATTAATTTCGGTTGTTGGTGTTGAGGAAATGGAATTAGCCCTATACACGTGATTTGGGGATGCACCTAAAAATTAAACACACACAAATGATTTGACCATTTGATTGTCACGTGATTTGGGGATGCACCTAAAGATTTGATTGTCACGTGATTTGCATGACTCCTAATCATAATGCATGTGCTCCATGTGATATCATGGCTTAATTAAGGTAGTATAATTCTATTCTTCTGCGAGGTCAACGGGTAAGCATCAAGTGTGGAAACCCACAGATCCAACTATAATGAACAAATTCATGACAAACCCTACCTTTTATTACCTTATTTTATTCATAGCAGTGAGACAATATGTACCATTGATATATATATATATATATATATATATTGTTGCTGTTAAAAAATTTATTACACTGCCTGCAAAATGGTTATCTAATCATCTCAATTCGACTTAGGTTCAATTGACTGCTCAAAATGGCTAAATTATTAGACTCTGTAATTCCTTCTTTTGACAATTGCAGCAAAATAAAATGGCTATGTTAAGACTTTCCCACGCAATTCTAAAATTTTACAATATCCCACCCACAAAGCTCCCAACTATTGGATGTGGTGGTGGGGCGTAAATGTTTGATGAATTGACAAACAAAAGAGTTTGAATTTGACTCATAATACTACAATTCTCCAGGCCGTTTTATTAAAATTTTGGGCCTCCGGATACATTGGTCTCGTTCATTACTGGCCCAATATTAGCTGGGTCATGGCTTAGATTTTGAGGGCGTTTAATGGATTATAAGACAGCTTGGAGTAGGGGATGTTGTTGACAGGAGTCGTAGTCATGTAAATATGGGCTCATGTCCAGGCCCAATAGGCCGTGGAGGCTGTGCTTCTACCATCTAGTTGGTCGATGTTTACAGGTGTGTATGGGGTCCATATGATTGACTATCCGTTCTGAGCACCCTGCTGTAGCTTTTAATGAGTTTGCATTCTCATGTCCATTAGAGTTGAAATCTTTGTAGGCTCTTTTAGATTCACAGAAAGGAAGAGACAGTGTAAAGGGAAAACATTGAAAGCATGCACTCCATTTGAATATACACAATGATTTGAACATTGAATTTGAAAGATATCCATATATGTCACACTCTCTGCACCATCCATTTACGGATTCATAAATGCTATGATAAAGATATTATGAATTGGACCATAGGAAGGAGTCGTAGTCATGCAAGTACGGGCTCATGCCTTGGACCAATGGGCCATGGAGGTTGTGTTTCTAGGGCACATATTGATTCAGGCCAGAAAGTCTGAATTCAGCTGCAAGTTCCTCCTCATATTTATTCCTGAATAGAGATAGATGGTCAATATTTACAAATTAATGAGCTTGCATTCTAATGTGAAGTAGAGTTGAAATCTTTGTAGGTTCTTTTTTATTCCTATAATTTTTTAGGTGTCACACCCTCCACCTTAATCCAATCTGTATTGTATGGGAGACACCTGGTTGTAGTCAGAACAAGCCCGGACTCCGATATTAAAGAGATTTGGGTTGTTTGGCAGTCCCATGTGGTGGAATGGTACGGAGCAAATCAAGTCTGACTCTGACCATGAGAAATGAAATACTGGTATAGCTGTTAGAGTTACGACTTGTGACCAAAATTGAGATTCAAAATCAACCCATTACTGCAAGTGCTAGTGTTGGGGCTTGTCATAGTATTCTCCAACTGCCAGATCGTGATCAATCATAACCCATCATCATCAAAGTAAGTTGGAAAAAAAAAAAAAAAAAATCAAAGTATCATCTATGCATACCCCATTGATTATGATCGTACCTACCATAGCAGTAGGACCCATTTCTCAGTTTTAATGCCCTTGCAGACGTGTCAACAGATCACGTTGCCACGTGTTGAAAGTGACAGGGTTGGTGGATTCCATTAAGAGGGAGAGAGAACGGTTCCTAGCATCCATCAAACATTTCAATTACATACAATTTAACTCAATAATTAAAAACATATATGAAAACATAACATATGTGGTACATTTACAAATGATAATATTGTATGTAACCATTCCATTTGAATTTGTAGATGTTTAAAGAGAAAAATATCACAACCAAAATTCAAAAATATGTAGATGTTCAAAAATTTATGCTGATGTCTCCTAAGTTTAGTACTTTATAATTAAAACGTTGATAACATTGAAATGCAGAATATATATATATATATATATATATATATATGTCAATTTCAAACTCATGAATTTCTCAATTAAAATAAGTTAATAACCGATGTGGGTCCTCATTGTTCAATTTCATCCATTTCCCACAAAATCCTTGTGGATCAAGTAAAGATATATTTGACTGCTTACGGACGTTTTACTTAAGCCACCATCTTGCCTTCCAAGTCAAAACTCTCTCTCTCTCTATATATATATATATACACGCACATATATATATACACACACGACGTAGCATACTCGTCTCCTTTATATATGATAACAAGTTGCCGACTTGCCGTCCCCTTCTGTGTGCGTGTGTGTGTATATATATATAGTGTATGTCTGTGTCTCCGTATACGTGCTTTACTCCTTACAATATATGCATAGCTATTTAAAAGCTCAACAACCTAGAAGTGTAGTCTTCTTTTAAGTATTTAACAAAATCTCAGTTTGATGTATAAATTACTCCCTCCATCTTACTAAAAATGTCATGTTTGGAGAATCGTGACTCCTATAAAAAATGTCATAGTTGGGGAATCGTGCTCACAACTTCCGTCCCACAAAAAATATCATGTTTGGGGAACCGTGACTCACCAAACATGACATTTTTTGTGGGATGAAGGAAGTACTATATAATTATTCATAGGTTATTATAAAAAAAAAATTAGGTATCTACACTACAGTTTGTATAATATAATAATATGATAGCCTTTGCCCTTTGGACCAATTTAAGATGCATATATAAGCAATAACGTAGACTATAAGATAAACTTAGTTGGCATCATACGAATACGCGCACTTTTTGAGACAAATTCATGTGAAAGATTTGAATACATTATTATTATTATATCAATTGTCCATAAATTCGGGGGTTCATGTGAGTGATAATTTCTTCTTTAAAACTTTCAAAAGTGGGATATATATATGTTATGATTAATTTTATTATATCATATGATCATTGTTCGACAAAGTGTTACCTAATCGAATTTCATAATTCTTTTTCCCTTGAAAATTAAGTAATAATCAAATATAAACATCATTACCTTTCCCGGAGGGAAAAGAAGAAAAGAAACGAAAATCAATACTTCTACAAAAGATGGATGGAATTAAATCACAAACCATAGTATATTCACTATTTCTTTTTCGAAATTTACATTACAATTAATTAATGGATCGCCTGTTAGAAAAATGGATTAAGAAAGGAAAAAAATATATAAGAATAACCCAAACCCAATAAGAAAGATTTTGAAAGGAACCCAAATCACCCAAAGAAGAGAAAAGAAAGGAAAAATGGGAGGAGAGAGGAAAATTTCCAAGCCATGTACAATTTAATCCCTGTGTTTTAGGGACACCTTGCATTTCTTCCAGGCCCTCCATAATAGAAATAATTCCCCCAAACAGTGTTAATTCCTCCCTGTATGTCATAGCAATTCGGGTGATCCGCCAAAACCCGAAGATTCGATAGTGGAATTAAGCTATTATCCCAATCCACAACCTCCAAATTTCGAAAATAGGAAGCTTTTCCAAAACCCTCTCCAGCAAAATGCCCACTTCCCATTTGGGTCGATGTGTGAGACCCAGATGGCCTACTATTAACAACTTCTCCACCAAATTGTACCATGGTTGCATGATCTCGCAAGTGCGTGAACAAAAATGATGGCCAGTAACCCACGAGAACTCCTGATCCGAATTCCAGCCACCAATTTCCGTGTTTCGGATCCTTCAAAACAAACATTTTTAAATTTTATTTTTAATTACATATTAGATCACACATTAATTACAATGCATGTGCTTAGTAGCAAGAACTTATAGGGACTAGTAAACAAAAAATTAAATTTAAGCAAGTGCAACGACTATTTCCTTCTCGAATTTCTAAATCATAAATGAATTTCTGACCCAAGGAATGGTAAGTGAAATTTGCAGAGATATTATTTACAACTACGTCTAAATACGGTCTGTTTTTTAAATTTTTTGTGTTCACGATTATGGTTATGACATTTTTTTCCCGGGAAAAGAATAGAGAATCTTATAAAGTAGAAAACATAAGAAAACTATACTGATTCTAAGAAGAATTTGGCAATGCACGCGTGCAATCTACTAAACTGGGTGCAGGGACGGACCCAACAGGGGACTAGGGGGGGCAGATGCCCCCCCTGAATTTTTAATATTTTCATTTTATACCTTAATGTTTTTAAAATTTATGAAAATGCCTCCCCTAAAATTACAATTCGCCCCCATTGGATTCTTTTTTTTTTTAGCATTTTATACTTCAAATTTTGATAATTTATGAAGAAGCCCCACTATAATTATAATTTGCCCCACTGATTTTTTTTTTCATTTTATACTTAAATTTTTTTAAAATTTATGAAAAAAACCCTACTAAAATTACAAAAATAAACCCATCATATAATTTTGTACCCACAAATTAAAAATTCGCCCCCCCTCACCAAATTTTCTGGTCCATCACTGACCGGGTGCATTTTAGCTGAATGGTGTATAGTGTAAGTTTGGCTGAATTTGTTTTTCAGACATTTGTTGTGTAAGACCACACTGGCACTTACGGAACATCTACATCGAGGAGGGCCCACCAAGTACATCTTATTTCAAGGTTTCTTGAGGTCTTTTCCCATGCATCAAATATTCCATTTTGGAGAACTATTATGATCCTATGGTTCTCCATACATACATACATACATACATACATACATATATTATGTAAGTAATGTAAAAATAACATGTAATGTGACAATGGCCTCCACAAATTTTATAGCTATAAAAGACATCAATTGGTTTACACATTTCTATTTAAACTAAATTGATTAACTAATTAAGATAGGAGTTACTATTTTGAGTCCACAAACCATTAAATTCAAATTCTTGAGTTAGTACCCAATTGTGTGTGTGTGTGTGTGTATATACATACAGATGGAAATTGATATTTTTGCAACCAAAATAGTGTACTTCTAATATTTTGCTTTGCTTGAGAGCTAAGTGTGGAGAAAAGTGGTATTGGAAAGTATTTTGGAGAGACTACCATTTTTCTTCCCCAATAATGCAACCTGAACTTTACCAACTGTGAAACACAATCCCTATTTCAGAAGTTGGTTCATGTTTTCCCGGGAGTTACTTCTCAAAGGTATGAAACAGAAGGAGTTTTCTTTCTTTTTCTTTTCCCATTGAAGCATAAGATGCTTCATCTCATTTCCCATAAGTGAAAAAAAGAACTTTAACACACTTCAATTTTCTCAACAACCAAACAAAATTTGAAGTGCTTACCTTCCAAATCAACAAGCTGATATCGAATTGTCCACCACCGTACGATGAGGTTGGAGAGATTGCAGCCCCAATCGCAATCTTGTTGTTAGTCTGAACGAAACCCGAGCATAGCAAATTGTAGCATCCAGTTGCTTGATATGCATCCGACTGTAAAATTAATCCATGATCAGTTATTTTTTCGAAATCAACTTATAAATCATATTGTCCTTAAAAAACCCAAGGCCAGTGTAAAACTTACTGTCCAGTAAGTAAAGAACCTAGGATAGTTGTCTCCATACAGCTCTGGGCTCACCTGTAAAACATAATTGAATTAGCATCTATGACTACATTACATGGATTCAATGAATTTGAGAGGTAGTTGAAACGTAATAATCACTTTGAATAACACAATACACATTTATGGCAGTTCATACTCAAATCCATCTCTTTCTGATTTTACCAATAGGTTGAATTGAACTGCTCTCAATCTGCTTATAATAGTAACTGGATTTAAGGTTTGATGCAGAAGTTGTGACATTTATTATTGCAGTTCAGTTACAAATTTCAATAACGAGCATTAGCTTAGATAGTATGATCTCTTCTTTGAGCCCTGTTAGTCGTTTGTTTGAATTTCGGGAAAATTAAAAATAAAAAATCAGAAAGCTAAGAACATGCCTGCCAACCGGCTTCAATGGTGTTAAGATCGTCGCCAAATGAACCAGAGATCACCCACATTTGTGATAAGCTGAATTCATATTGGTTCGCGACACGGGGTGCCCACACATTGATACTGGCTTTAGCTCCATAATACTGATCTCCAGCTACATACCCAACTGCATGCTGTTACCCAAAAATATAGAAAGAAATATCTGTTAGCCTATTTATTCATTTAACTTCAACATTCAATGGTTTTAATTGGATTTTTTTTTTTGTAATTTCTAAATAGAACAGTGACATTGAGCACAGACTAATTCCTACTATATTGTTTTCAATTAATATAAGTTTGTTAAAGTTCTAGTATTTAGAAAGTTTTTTTACAATATGTTAGTCATCGACAAGACCTTTCCCTTGGAAATTAGTGAAAGTATTAGTACAGAAAACCATGAGAGTCTGTAATTTCTGGAAATAGAAATCTGTCACATACATTCAATGACTGAACTAATGACAATCAGAAGTTGATCATCAATAAATGTGACAGATTTAAATTTCACTGAAACAAAAACAAGAACATAAAAAAGATATCCAATTTTTATTTTCCTAGTTTCTCTAGAGGTTTGATTTTTTTTTTCAATATGACCAAGTTTGAGTCTTCCCATTTAATTTGCAGTTTTGTTTGAAGCACCAACTGACCTCATGGCCATTGCTAGAAGAATCACGCCGGAGAGGTCTTCGCAGTTTTCTTCCGAATCTTCGGATGGAACTGGCTCGGAGAATATCTTGCTCACTTGTTCTTCTAACTGGAATTGTTCCTTCTGGACATGATTCACCAGACAGACTCCATAACTGGAAATTTTCCGATACCATGCCTCTCGGATTATGGCCTTTTGGCCTCTCCGGTGGATCCTACAAATTCACCAAAAATCTCCAAATTTTCATTACCTTTGATTTACTTGCCAAACTCCAAAAGAAGAAGCTCAAAACACCCCTAAAACAATTCAAACTAATGTGTAGTGAAATTTAGCTACCAATGGCTTTTGTCCTCTCAATTGTGGATGATCAAAAGCTGGTTGTCGATGAGATACCACACAATCTATCAGATCACCATCAGGACTCTGTACCAAAAAGCAATAAGTTAAAAATATAACACCCCAACAAGCAGACAACAAAAACAGAACAAAAACAGGGGAAAGAGAATAATTTGAAGTGTTCATAACAAAAACATGTCATTCAAAGGAAAAGAAAGTGCCTGAATTGTCTTGACAGCAGGTTTATTGATCTTGTTGAGATGGGTTCTGATCATTTTCAACTTCGTCGACTCTTCGCCTGGCCGGAAAGTCTGGTTGGCTCGATGGTAGTCGCCGGATTCAGAAGATAGGACCGGACAAACAAAGGAAGTAAAAAGAAGAAAGCAAACAAAAATAGGAATGATTGGTGAGGTTCGGCAACAGCTAGAAGCCATGTTTGAGTGATTTGTATGCGTTGTTTGTTCTACTAAAACTGTTTGTGTTTGTTGTGTACATTGGTGTTGTCTTCTTCTGTGATCAAAAAAATAACACCAATTATTCTTAGTTTTTGTCCATGGAAGCACACCTCCCACTGAATCCATCCAACACAAAGTAACCATTCTAAGAAACCCAATTCACTCTCTCACCATTTCCAAAGCTCCAAACCCCGGAATAACTAAAAACCACACTTCTCTCTCTAGACTTTCTCTCTCTCTAAGCTTCTAATACCTTCTTGGGTTATGTTCTTCTCCTACAACTTCCAGGCATGAGCTAATAAAAAAACACACAAATGGGGTTGCGCCTTTAGAGTTTAACCCATGTGGGTGTGAGAAATAAATACTGGGTTGTGATCAAAACATGCAAATTTTAAAACTTTTGGAAGAATAAATTGAGTAGAGAGAGAGAGAGAGAGAGAATATGTGGGTTTGTGTTTCCAGTCTTCGATACAAGGACTGAAGCTTTAGTTTCTTTTTTTGTGGGTTAGAAATATAAAAGAAAGCAGTCTGTATATTGTCCTTGATGTGTGCTATATGTATACAAAGGGGTTTATATAAGAGGAGAATTTATGTGTGATAAACAAGTAAACCTTATATATATATATATGGTAACTATATATATAGTTTATATATAAGAAGTTATGTGTGATGAACAAATAAATTATATTTATATATGGTAATTATATATATAGTAATCCTATACAAGATTAGAATCTTATACATGATAATCCTATATAAAGTTAGACTATATATATGATTTATACAGGAGAGTTTATGTATGATGAATAAGTAAATCATGTATGTATATGATAACTATATATATATATATATAATAATTTTATACAAAATTAAAATCGTGTATATATATATATATATGTGTGTGTGTGTGATAATCTTATTTAAAGTTAGAATTTATTATAAACATTGTGTGTGAAATTTATAGGGCATATAACAGAATGTAATGGGTTTACTAGTGATTTCTGTTATTCTTTACTTTGGGTGTGAAGACAGATGGGAATTACACTTGATTCTGGTTTTCCAAAGTTCTTTGCTTTGGGTGTTCCCTTTCTCACTTCCCTAGATGTTCTTTGTGTCAGCTGACCATTTTCTTTATTTCCTTTTTCTTTTCTTTTCTTTTATTTTTCACATACAAACCAATTTGGTTAATAAAATTGCTCCACAAAACAAAGGTATCCCACTTTGATAGTATTTCTAAAAATGTTCTGTTTACATTATAATAATAATTTTGAATTTGGATAATCTGACAAATGAGTGATATGCTGCGGTCAATACTACAGTAAGTATTGAGTGGGATGGATGGAGAGTTGTCCATCTAGTGGGCCATCACTTAGATTAGTCAAATGGAAACAATAGATCTAAGATGATAAAGGCAGTTTAATAAGAAGGGTATGTGATGGAATTTTAGTAATGTTTTAAGTTGCACGGTACTCCGTAATAGTAAGGTAGGGCCTCTTAAAGGGTGTCGTTATCTGTGAGCAAAGCCAAGTTTGTTAATGGTGTTGGAGCTGCTGTGCTGGCATGCGCACCTGGTTATGTGGACTTTGCCATTTCGTGCTTATGCAAACATTAGTGCATGTGCATGCGCGCGTTATAGATTGCTAGTCAGGGTTTGGAAATTTTGAATCTGCATTTTAAAATCGAAATTAAAAGTCTTCCGGTCCCAATTTTAGTGGCGATTCACCTTAAAATAATTTTTTTTTTTAATTTTAATTTCAAGACACCTATTCAATGTTTTAAAATATAACTTAACATAATCCAGAGGTTTGATGATAATTTTGTGCTGAAGTGTAAATTATTATATAAAAAGTTAGCCTGAACTTAACATAAGTTGTCCTCGTAAAACCAATTTCTAATGAAGTTTTATTGAAATAGTTGGAATTAAACAATTAGAATTAAGGTTATGATTTAATCTGAGCTCATTAGTGTGTTAGGGGGTCATTTTCTGTTGTAATAAGAAAATCACAGTTGAAAATATAGCATAAAAATTTTCTCAAAAAAAAAATATATATATATATATATATTAAATGTAAAATCCAAGAGTAAGAAAATTGAACTTTTTTCAGTTGGCGTGAGCAACCATTCATCATTTTTTCTTGTTTTACTTTTTTCTCATGGGAGAAAAGTATGGTACGAGGAAGAGAGTGGAGGTAGGAGAGGAGAGGAGTGTTTGGTTGTTGAGAAACTGATTTTGTCCTTCAAGCTCTATATATGCAGTCTGACATTAAATTGAAATATTATATTAACATACTCTGGCGTGAGCCTTTATGATGAGGACCTTTCATCTGATCCATTTTTGGTAGAGCTACACAGTGAAACAGTTCAAATCATGCTCCATTCTGATGTTTGAATTGATTTTACAGGGCAACCATTCCGTCCCGATTCCAGAATTAGGGGAATCAACTATGATCAGTTCATTACAATTTGAGTTGAATTGTATATGATTTTATCTAATCGGCTAGTACCCCTTTCATTAAGAATAGTTTATTTGCTTAAACTTCATTAAGAAAAAGACTAATTATATTCCTTGCGACAGTTGGTATAATCGATTACTCAAAAGGCTTGCGTGGCATTTTCATATAATGGAGTCCATGCAGGAATGGTCAGTGATGTGAGTTGCGCTACACGGAATGGATGTGAAAGTTAATATTAAAAATAATTTAGAAGGGGTGAATTGGTTTTACTTACTCTCTTATCTAATTTTTATTTATTTTAATTGTATTGAAATAAAACTAAAATAAAACCCACAAAGTAAAAAATAAAGTATTTGAGACATGACACTAGGGTTTTTGTGCATGAAAACCCTAGTAAGAAGAAATCCGACCAACCGAGATGAAAATCATAGAGACTTTCACAGTCCCAAGCGAAACGATTCACTATGTTTGAAACAAAGTACAATCGACTCTGACTCAAGTTCATACCCTGTCGTTCTGCCAAAAAATCAGTTACTGACAATCATTGACCTTGCGACTCTTTTGTCCAACAGCTCTCGACTTCAGGCTTACTCATGCAATAGTGTGTTCTCTCAAGTATATAAAAATATACAGAACAATCAAGGTGATTTTCTGCAAAAAAAATATATATATACTTTCAAATAATTATTTCAATTAGAAAATTATTGACTTCAAGCCCTAAAAATTTAGGAGAGAAAAAGAGTTTATATCAGAAAGTGCAACCTGTTTGACTAAAATTGCAATTTGTTGTACTTTTTTAGACTTAGAATTTCTCAATAAAAACATGTTTTCCTTAAGTCCTAACTAAACTTGAAATATAAAATGTACTCTATTAACATACTTTTTCTAAATAATATTCTCATCGGATCGAAGTTTGCACGCACATTGTAACCCTTGTAGTTCCGCTTTTGACATCGAAACTCAAAGTAAAACAAAAAATTACAAGTCGATTGTACACATTTTGACACCTAAATCTGCCAATTACAAAATTTACATCTCAGAGGTTAGCCCAACTTTTGCAATGAATAACAGTGACTCTAAAAAAAATATTTGTATACCCAAAAAAAAAGTACTACAAATACACAAAAAGATACTAAAGGTTGTGTAATCTAATAATATTTCTTCAACCTCCCATAGGAAAAGGTGAGGTTCGAGTCCCTACAAGGACAATTGCCCCTGATAATCAATTTTGACCAATCTTTTTTGGAAAAATCTCAAAATACCTGTAAGGGTATTTTAGATATTTCATTCTTTATTTTTCTTTATAAAAATTCCATTTTTTTTTTGTAAATAACCCCAAAATAGCCAAAAAAAAATCCCAAAAATTTTGATATCAGTGTTTTTTATTTTTATTTTGTCTTGGGGGTCTTTTAGGCATTTCAATATTCAAATTGAAGAATTATACTTATTTGCTCAATTTAAAAAAGGATAAAGTTTAGCTACTCACCGGTGAGTAGCTTCACCCTACTCACTCTTGTGTTCCAATAATAATTTACCACATCAGTTTTAATAAAAAAAATAATCCAAGTTTATTCAATAGTTGATCCAAAAAAATACAGGAGGATCTGAATTATTTTATTATTAAAACTGATGTTGTAAATTATTATTGGAATACACAAGGGGTGAGTAGGGTGAAGCTATTCACCGGTGAGTAGCTAAGCATTATCCTTTAAAAAATATAGGGGTTTTTTTTTTACATCGCAAAGTATTTATACATTCTGTATATATATATATATATATATATATATATATATATATATATATATATATTCACTTTACCCTTTAATGTATTTCTTAATGTGTTATTATTGCCATCTTGTTTGATAATAAGATTGTGTATGTGTAGTAAATTAGATACAATATTAGTATGTTATTTTTAATTATTAGAGCACCAGTCCGAGGGCTACCTTTCCCAACATTCTTCAGTTCTCCTTTAGGGCTCTGCCAATGATGCTTCCCACTTACCTTGTCCCTTTTCTTCTTCCAATTTTACAGTTTCTCACTCTTTGCTTCTGAGACATTCATGGTTAGCAACAAACACAAAATTTGACTAGTAAGCCTCTCTTCTTTCAAAGTGAAAGTTCAAAGTCGGAACTACCATAAGAGAGTGTATGTGAAAGTGGCAAAAGAAAAAAATTAGGAAAAAAAAATATATATATATATATAGTGTTAATTAGTTTAGCTTTTGCACTAAAGTAGTGTTGTGACAGGGTGTTCTACGATCTGATCTAAAATTTAAGTTATTATGTGAAGTTGACACTTAACTCATATATATACACTAAGAAAAGGCAATGCACGTGGTGAATGTTTTCTAACTTATAAAATTTTTGTTTTCATATATATTTTTTTAATTATTGATTTGAAGCTTGTTTATTTTGTTTAAATATATTCTTGTCTAATAAGATTTTATTTTATTAAAAAACCCATAATAAATAGATAATATGATAGAGTTTTATAGAAAAGAAAATAAAAAATAAAAAGAAGCTAATTTGTGGCAGATTTTACAGAAATTTTTTATTTTCCTTAAATATATTCTTGTTTAATTATATTTTCTTTTATTAAAAAATTCATAATAAATAGATAAATAAGTAATATGTGTTATAGTTTTATAGAAACTTTTTTAAAAACTCTTTTTATATGAATTAATAAATATTTTTCATATTAATAATTCTTGTATTTTTCATATTAATAATTCTTGTCTAATTATATTTCCTTTCATTAAAAAATTCATAATAAATAGATAAATAGTTAATTTGTGTTAGAGTTTATAGAAACTCTTTTAAAACCTCTTTTAATATCAATTAATAAATAATTTTTTATATTAATAATACTTGTCTAATTAGATTTTCTTTTATTAAAAAACTCATAATAAATAGATAAATAGGTAATTTAAGTAAGAGTTTTATAGAAACACCTTAAATGTATCTTTGTCTAATGTGAAAGAGTTTTATTGAAAATAAAATAGGTAATTTGTGATAGGTTTTTATATAAATTATTTTATTTTCTTTAAATATATCCTTGTCTAATTAACTTTCATTTTATTAAAAAACTCATAAT